AGAATGAAACGCATCCAAACTGGATAAAGGGGCCTCAATATTTTGCCCCTTACATGTCATAAAGGGGAGAAAAAGATAATCTACAGCATAATGCGTTAGCTCTTTATCTTTCCATTCTTCCTTTTGTGTGACTGACGGAAGTCTGTAAACTGCTGCTGTCACTTGAAAACTGGAAATTGCCATGCAGCCCCATGGCAAAAGCAGACTCAGAAGTGGGGCAGTAGGTAACTAAGTAACGTAATTAGTTACTTTTTTTAGGGAGTAACGCAATATCGTAATGCATTACTTTTAAAAGTAACTTTCCCCAACACTGGTAGTACTGTAAGTATATGTAACCAGGGCACTGTGAAATAAAGTGTTACTATTGTTTCTGAATATAAAACACTCAAAAAATTTTTCAAACTTAACCCATTTGTGCCCAAACTTTTCTGAATGGTTACATGGATATATAGTCATGTTAATTGTGTCCTATGTGAACATGTTCTGTATTTATTTTCCCCAGGTTTTTTTTTTTTTTCTTGAAAATCGTATTTGAATGTACGGCAATACCTTGATTTATTAACCTATTAACACAGTATACCCCATTTCCCCATGATATGTACTTACGAGTAATTTGCCCACCGGCAACTATAGCTGCCGCTTGGACTTTTGATTAAGTATACAAAAAACTATAGATCTCCTGGAAGATTTGTTTTGTTTGGATGATTCTAGAGACCTTCATGATTATGTAGATATATATTTGTCAACAAAAAATACTTAATAGTAACATGAAAATTAAATTTCTTTTGGAGGGTTTGCCTTCGCCATGCTTCCTGAAAGTAGGGGTAGGAACTTGACAGCCTCATGTGACAGGAAGGAAGTGAATACCTTTTTTTTTTTTTTCTTGAAATCCTTTATTTGGTTGTTTGCTTGCATGTCATTGAGAAATAAAACATGGATAACATCTAGAAAAATACTTACAAAAGGAAAATGACAACTATAAACTGCGGCAACTGTGGGCTTAAATGGGTTAATGGCCAAAAAAAAAAAAAAACTTAAAAACCTAATGACCAATAATCAATTTATTTATTCGCCAATGTATTTATAATTCAGATATTACTTGTATTTGACATTTGACAAATGTTAATATTGGACTCCAGGCATACACAGGTTTTACACAGGACAAGAAGGGTATTTCTATTATAGATATTACCCATAGCATACATAATATACATTTTATTTGTTTTATTTGCTGCATCGACCAGGACCTCCCAGATTTTTGCATTTTATAGTTTGGAATAAATCGAAGAATTCAGAAAATTCGGAAAAAAAAAAATCGAAAATATTTTTTTATATAGTACTGTACTGAATAAGGTGTTTTACATAAAGATCTATACATATAGTCCAAAAAACTATTTAAAATTTACACAAGTGAACTGGTTCAAAAGGTTACATACTCTTGAATCTTAATGTGTTTTTAAAAAAATCCATAGAAAAACACAAAATGTCCTGGTAGAAAATTACCAGTACACCTTAAATTTACGGACATTTCCTACAATGCAATGCGTAATTCAAAATACAGGTGAAACATATTTAAATAATACAGAAAATTCCTTCATATTAACACAGTACATTGGGCCATATTTTTATGGATTTTATGGATGGAAATGAGCATCATGTCAAAATTAATTCTTTTTAGACATGGCTACCCTTTCGTTATTTATCCGTAACATAAAGTTTTTTTTTTTTTTTTTTTTTTTTTTACAGCAAGGTTGCATTAAATTGATCAAAAGTGACCTACTGTAAAAGTAAACTACTTTTACATTATTACTTTTTTTTTTTCCAGATAAATGTTGTTGTTGTGAGCTTTGTATTCATCAATGAATCCTGAAAATATGTATGAATGTTTCCACAAAAATATTAATTGACATTGATAATAAGAAGAATAGCTACCTAAGCACCAAATCAGCATATTAGAATGATTTCTGAAGGATCATGTGACACTGAAGACTGGAGTAATGATGCTGAAAATTCAGCTTTGCATCACAGGAATAAATTACATTTTAGAATATATTAAAATAGAAAACAATTATTTAAAATGGTAAAATATTTTACAATATTACTATTTTAACTGAATTTTTGATCAAATAAATCCAGCCTGGGTGAGACTTCTTTCAAAAACATAATTTAAAGTGTAGTGTTACCACATTTCGCAACATAGAAATATGGATTTATGTTTCATACTTTGCACATTTGCTCTTTGTTCTGTGTTTAAGTGTCAGTGTTTTCAATGCTCAATGTTCTGAGTTGTTTAGTGTTTATATTTTGCATTACAAGCATGTGCTCTTTTGTGTGTGTGTGTGTTTGTGTGTGTGTTTCAGTGAAGGGTGATGGCGCGGAAGACTCAACGGTCTGGAGATCTCGCTCATAGTTCTCTTCCTTTTGATGACAGCAGTCTCAGTGGGGCTAATAACAGTCCTGGCCCTCAAATTGGATTCAGAAAAACGTAATCATATGTTTTAAGTAATTCTGAACTGTACACATGGTTTAATTACAAGAAAATTATAGATCATAGACCAAAATGTATTTTTCTTAAGCAATAATTTTTGTCCTTATGCATTCTAACACCTAGGAAAAAGTTTAGCTGATTTCATATTCATATATTTAATATTGAGAAATATTTTTTATTATTTGTGCACCAGAAGAAGCGACTCCAGAGGAACCGAGCCCATCGGTGAATCCTCCAGAGAACCCTTATCTGATCGGTGTGGGTCGAGCAGACTGTACCGGGCCTGTGGCCGATCTGCCTATGGTCAGCTTTATTTCTCTCAGTCATTTTCTGTTCAGTTCATTTCTTAGACTTTGATCATTTGACTTTACTCTGAAACTATTGCCAGCTGTTCTGTGTGATTAATGGTGAGGCCTTAGTCGGAAGTTATTATTCCAGTTGTTAGTCGTTATTCATCAGTTGTTAAGAGACTGATAATGTTTATGACTGTGCATTGATCAGATGTGATGATGAAGGACAGATATCGATGTCAAAGGCCTTTAAGATTCTTGTGAATCCTGATTTAGTTTTTTTGTTTGTGGAAAAGACGGGTTACGCCAATACTGAGCAGACAGTGAGAGGGATCCACACACGTCTGTTCAGCAGAGCCTTCATCGTGGATGACGGCAGTAAAAGAGTGGTGTTCATCACTGCAGACATCGGCATGGTCTCTCAGAGACTAAGGCTAGAGGTAGCACACACACTATTCTGGGTTTCTTCTTCTGTAGTCATGGGAAAAGTTTACATAAAGCACTTCTCTTATAATAGCACGTGGGCCATTGACAATGGTCATAATAGAAATTCTGAATATTTAATACTAGATTGTTATTAAAAACTCTTTGTTAAGTCTTTGTTACACACATACTGTATATATATATATATATATATATATATGTACACACATTGTCAATGACCTGGTGTAGGAAAATAGCTAGTAAATACAATAGGACGAATACAAAGGACACGTTGAGTTTGTTTTGCGATTCGGACCGAATCAGTTTTCTAAAGTGTTTTTGAAAAATCACTTACTCTGCCTTTTAAATTGACAGCATCTGATTTTTTTTGACATGTTTGAAAATTATCGGGAGGACGGGAGGTGCTCGTAACGTCTCGGATCGGCCCGTAATTCTTCTCACACGGTAGGAGACGCGACCATGCGAGGATCTGCGATTTTCTCCCAAGAGAAAAAAATCGCCTGCGAGCTCGTACGACAGCAAAAATCGCACCGTGTACGCCCGCCTTTAGGGATTTATTGGCTATGTATCTGCCCTCAGCTGGTTTGCTGTGCATCCCGTCAGTATGAATGACACCAAGCATGGTGAGCTCGGACAACCTCGGCTACGCCTCCTATGCCTTCGAGCAAGAGAAAAACATTGGCTTTCTACCCGGTGAGGTAAAAGGTCAACCTTTTAATTGGAGCCTTTTCCATCTGAGCCCCATCATCAAGGTTAATTAATTGTCTTTATTAGTTGTAATCTACTTGAAGAGTTCACAAGGACATTTTGCCGTTCAATATAGTCAATAGTTCTCCTGAGAATGCTCTATACACGGAGGAAGCTTATTGAAGATGGTTAATTAATGTTGTTATTATGCAAGATCTCTTTGCCCTATAAATTAAACCGAAGATAAAATTTCTGTTGCTTATGTCGTCAGTTATTTATAATAGGCTTTTTGACTCTGGGACAGTATGAAAAGCTCAGCAGTAATGCATCACGGTCTGTTTACCTCCAGGGCCCTTTTGTAGCCGGCTTTTCCTCCAGTAATCTTGGAGATTCATCTCCCAACATTCGCGGCCCTGTCTGTGTGAACACCGGCGAGAAGTGTGACTACCTTAACAGCTCCTGTCCCATTGGTGGAGTGAGTTATTTATCAACGGTGTTGTGCGTACAGTGTTGTACGTATACACACATTTTAATATGTATATTTTGATTTATATTTTTTATTTATTTAAAGGGGTCATATGATGCTGCTAAAAAGAACATTATTTTGTGTATTTGGTGTAATGAAATGTGTTTATGCGGTTTAAAGTAAAAAAAACACATTATTTTCCACATACTGTACATTATTGTTTCTCCTGTATGCCCCGCCTTCTGAAACGCGTCGATTTTTACAAAACTAATCGGTCTGAAAAGCGAGGTGTGCTCTGATTGGCCAGATATCCAATGCGTTGTGATTGGCCGAATACCTCAAGCATGAGACGGAAATGTTACGCCCCTCACCATACTGTTGATGCCGTGTCCCGGCCGGAGCGACGAGACAAAACATTAAAACCCATTACAAACGAGGCATTTGTTGCATCCAGTGGGGACATAATTACTGATTATAATGACTTATACTGTCTTTTTACGCATTGCGTTGCATCGCGCCACGTAAACAAAACCATGTCTGCATTTGGACTCTGAACTTTTATAAAGAATATCTCTTTGGATTTGAGACTTTAGTCTTTGCAACTTTACAGATCTTCTTTATGCACCAAGAGCTTGTAACACTCCAAAGAGAAAGGAAAAAATTAAATTGCATCATATGACCCCTTTAATTGATTGATTGAAACGTTCAGTTTTATATTTCAACTTAAATATCTGCAGACACTTGGAAATATTTACTCTCCATGTGCCTTTCAACAGAAAAAAGCGTGCATAGCTTTTGGACCGGGTGAGGACGTGTTTGAAAGCACCAGGATCATAGGAAAGAATATGTCTAAAAAAGCAAAGGTTTGTCTCATTTGTCCTATTGCTTGATCCTGATGTGTATCAGTGATTGTGGTGCGAGTGCGTTACTTTACAGTCAATTTGTTCTGCAGGAGCTGTACAGCAGTGCAAAGCAGGAGCTGCATGGGCCCGTTTACGGCGCACATCAGTGGGTCAACATGACCGATGAGACTCATACAGTGAGTACAGGGTTCCTGTGCATGAAATACGGCTACTGAGATTAAGAACATGTACTAAAAGTGTAAAGTCTTATTTTATTTGTTTAGCACTTTTTAAAATACACATTGTTTTAAAGCAACTTTAAAGAAATGTTCTATATTAAATAGTTCATTAATTTATATAATAATAATAATAATAATAGAGTTTTTTAATTTTGGGTGAACTATCCCTATATGTAGACTACCGGTAAAAAGTTTGTAATAATAAAGATTTTTCAAAAATGTTTTTGAAATTTAAAAAATGTAAAATGTAATTTATTCCTGTGATGTCAAAGCTGAATTTTCAGCAGCCCATTACTCCAGTCTTCAGTGTTACATGATCCTTCAGAAATCATTCCATTTGTATTGTTTTAAACATGGTCAATTTGCAGTTTTTCAACTGTATACATGCCATTTAGACAATTATACGTGCAAGCATGAGACTAAGATGACTAGTGAGACACTTACCAACCTTGTCTGTGCGAAATTGTCATGTCATGTTTATGAAAACTCAATGAACAAAAACATAAAGATCCGCAAAGTGCTGTTTACAGTGAACAAACTTGACTCACAGGAATTATGTACGTAAGTACATAAAGAAGTAGTTCTCAAAAGGACAATTTTATACAACTTTACAGATCAAATAACACATTTTGCACTGCATAATTCCTGTATGTACTTTAACATAAAATACAAGCCTCACGTTTAACCCTCAAAAACGTCAGTGCATCACCAAAACATGATTTTCTCTTGTTTTTAAAATCGGAAGATAAAATATTTTCTGTAGTTATCGTCTGAACGTCACAGATGCTGTCTGTAGAACTTAACATGAACTAAAAAACTGTTTCTGTCGTCAGGGACGGACATGTAAACCTGCTCTGGGCCACAGTTTTGCTGCTGGTACAACCGATGGAGGAGGAGAATTCAACTTCATACAAGGTAAGGAGTCGAGTTTCATATCACACGCTTGGTAAGTACTTTGCCAATTCTTATGGTTACATAATTTGACAGGTAGATAATTATGGTTATGCTTTTTCTTGTGACCAGGGGATACTGATGGAGATCCTTTCTGGGATGGAATTAGAGATGCAGTTTTGGGACCCCCTTCCAACGAGACCACGGCTTGTCATCAGCCTAAACCAATCCTCTTCAGCACTGGGGAGGTATGAGGACAAGTAGAGCTCATAAAGAAACGGAATAACCTGATATACAATATGGTATCTTTTGTTATTATTAGCATAAGATAAGAATGTGCCAAAAGGGAAATTCGCTCCAGAATTGCCACTTTTTACACAGTACATGACAATAGGTAATGGCAAGTATTCATAACTCTTTTATTTGTTTTGAAATAATAACAGTGATATTCGCTTCTGTGCAGATGGATTCGCCCCTCCCATGGCATCCAGCCACCGTGGACGTTCAGATCATCACTATCGGCTCTTTAGCCATAGTTGCAGTCCCAGGAGAATTTACGTGAGTTCTGTTAATTAGTATAAGGAAAATGAAAATAGGAAACTGTGGCTCTATAACCAGCCAATATTGTTTACCCCAAATTGTCTTCTGTGTTCTAGTACCATGTCAGGGAGAAGGATACGAGAGGCAGTCAAAAAGGTAAGAATTGCACATTCACTACTGGTAAAAGGTTTGGAATAATTAAGACTTTTTAATGACTTTGAAAGAAGTCCCTTCTGCTTACCAAGGCTGCATTTATTTGATTAAAATACAGTAAGAACAGTAATTTTGTGTAATGTAATTAGAATTTAAAATAACTCTTTTCTATTTCAATATTTGTTTAAATGTAAATTATTTCTGTAATGCAAAGCTGAATTTTCTTCAGTGTCACATGATCCTTTAGAAAACATTCTAATATGCTGATTTTGGTGCTTCATTTTGTAAATTATTATTGGAGCTCAGATATTTTTGCTGCTTGATATTTTTGTGGGAAATGTCATACATTTTTTTTCTCAGGATTCTTTGATGAATTCAAAAGTATCAACAGTATTAATTTAAAACAGAAATCTTTTGTAATATTATAAATGTCTTTACTGTCACTTTCGATCAGTTTAATGCATCCTTGCTGAATTAAAGTATTCATTTCTTTTTATTAATCTTTCTTACACCAAACCTTTGACTAGCAGTGTATCCCAGATTATACAAAAATATTAAGCAGCAAAAACTGTTTTTAACATTGATAAGAAATGTTTAAGCAAATCAGCATATCAGAATGAATTCTGAAGACTCATGTGACACTGAAGACTGGAGTAATGATGCTGAAAATTCAGCTTTTTTTAATATTTCAAAAACATTTTTCATTAAAAAATTTAATTATTCTAAATGTAATTCTTATTCTAAGCCAGTAGTCTACACTCTAAAAAATTATTGGTTAAAAAGGGACAAACCCAGCTATTGGGTTGTTTTGACCCAGCTATTAGGTTGTTTTGACCCAGCTATTGGGTTGTTTTGACCCAGCGGTTGGGTTCAAAACAACCCAACTGCTGGGTTTGTCCCTTTTTAACCCAGCGCTGGGTTATATTTAACCCAGCATTTTTTAGAGTGTACATATAGGGATAGTTCACCCAAAAGTGAAAACTCTATTAATACAAATATAATAAATTAATTTGTTTAAAGCTATGATCTGTTTTTAGAGGATTCCATTTTAAGTTGAATAAACATATTTTGACACAAATATCAATATGTTTAGGGGGAATAGACAGTGGTGTATTTTGACGTCACAATAATTTCACATGATTTGCATAGGAGTTGGAGGTGAAAGAGTCTTTCGCTAATGCAGTGGTGGTCGTCGCTGGTCTGTGCAACATCTACACCCACTACATCACAACATACGAAGAGTATCAGGTATATACTGCATGCCTCAGTTTTAGTGAACCATCGACGCTTACAAAAACATAGCGTAATATAGTCATGGTATTTACATGGTGCTACAGGGTCAGTGATCCAAAAAATATGAAGAGTTCAGATGCAAAAGCCTCTAAGTGCCATCTTTTTGCATCTGAACTCTTCATATGTGTCTGTATTTTTCCTCTATCCTCACAGATCCAGCGATATGAGGGCGCATCCACTATTTATGGTCCTCACACTCTCTCGGCTTACATCCAGCGCTACAGAGGCCTGGCCAGAGCTATAGCTCACGTAATGCTCTGCTGCCTTACAGTCATTTGTGACTTTTTGATGAACTGAAATGGCCTGCCTGATCTCATGAATGAATCAATTTTTCACAGGAAACAATTGGAGAGCTGCCTAAGGGTCCTGAACCCCCTTTCTTTGATGAAGACAAATTTTTTAATCAAGTGAAGGACCCAGTTGCAGATGTAGCTTCAGCTGACACCACATTTGGTGACGTTTTACAGCAGGTTAACCCCGTCTATAAAGTGGTAGGTCAATAATTCTGATGTACAAACAGTACAGTAAAGGTGCGGTCACTTTTACTATTGCTTGGAGCAATTTTGCAGACAAAATCAATCATTTCAATAGGAATCCACATGTTTGGGAGTTTCGCATGAGTGTGAAAAAGTTCCCCATGTAGATTTTGATTCTTGTTCAAGTTGGACATGTGAATTTGATGCGCTAACCAACATAAAGCTGCTTGATTTGAATGTGACTTCTACGCTGTTGACAATTTACCTTTTATGCACATGAAAAATGTGACTGCTCATTAAAACTGTCCTAGTGAAAGCTTACTATTATAAATTGACAGGCTTCATGTGATTTATTTATTCTAAAGGGAGAAATTGCATCTGTCACATTCGTGAGTTCTTAAGTAGCAGTAACTGTACAGTAATCTCTTGCAAAACATGCTCTTTTATGCATGAGATATTACCAATCTGTGGTGATTATGATATCAGAGAGATAAGACATTTGTCACAGTGGAGAGGTTTCATAACGACACCAACTCATGGGAAATAATTCACACGGATGCATCGTGAGAAACAAGGTAATGTGTTTTCTACAGACAGTACAGTACATGCTGCAGAAAGATGCATTTTTTAAATGCTTTTTAAATGTTATCATATTCGTTTGTATCCTTCTATAATTTTACTTTGAGGTTGAGTTAATAAAGCCATCTTAAAGCTGATGGTATCTTTCAAGGTCTATCCCCGATAAGGCAAACGCTGAGTCAAGGTCTTATCACTTATTAATTATATAGGCATTTCAATCCTCGGGCCGAAATCCATGTGTGATCCATAAAGGAATTCTAGATTAGACAGTCTGTACATTTATGTTGACATAATGCGTAAAGGCAAAACACAGTCACTGTAAAAAAAAATAAAAATGATAAATTAAATTTAAATTAAAATAAAATTTACGGTAAAAAAACGTAAAATTTTACCGTAAAAAATACAGTAGCAACATTTTACATTTTACGGTTTGAACTTAAATTTACAGTTAAATACCGTAATTTCATTAACTGATATAATGTTAATATGCCAACCTATTAAAGTACTGAAATCTGTTTTTTACCTTCGTAATACACTGATAACCACCAAATGCAGGTGGTGATGAGAAAGTCACATGATGAACCAAAGCCCCATTCATTTAACAACATTAGGTGTAACACACAACCCTAATATACAAAACTGATAAGAAAAAACTAAGAAGAAACATAGTTATTTCAGCAAAAAAACATCAAATTTGAAATGTAACGCAGGGAATTCTGGGAATGTCAATTTACGGTTATTCACTGTAAATTATACTGTCTCTTTCAAAAACGGTATACTACCGTAAATTTAATGTCCAATACATGTAATGTCCAATACAGTTTTTCACTGTATATAGTAGGGAAATTTACCGTTAAATTTACCGTTAACCATTTAACAGGTTTTTACTATAGCATTTTTACAGTCTTTTACCGTTAAATTCACGGTCATTTTTTACTGTGTATGTCAGCAAAACTGGAACTGATAAAAGGGCATCAAAGTTTTTAATTGAATGTTAATTTATTTGATATTAGTTTTCAAAATTCTGTTCAAAATTCTGTGAGTAGACTAACCTGAATGTTTGAACTGGGATAACAGAAAACAGTGAAAAATAGTGTAAAATTGTTAAATTATAATATTAATAATTAAAAATAAATATATGCTATAATATGGACTCATTATGTATATTCAGGTTTCACTGGATTAAAGGACTTGCTGGCCGGTGTCAGTCAAAAGTGGAGTGGCACATCCCGCTCACGGCACAGACAGGAACCTACTGGATTCAACACTTTGGACACTACAATCAATTCACGGATAACAACACCATCACACCATACGTTGGCACTTCTGATGCTTTTAAAGTCACCAGAAGCTTTTACTACTATTGATCAGTGTATCACTGAGAAAGAACATTAGACATGACGCTGACAGATATTAGCTGCTCGTAAGGCAGTGCTCAATTAAAAGCATCAATCTGTAACTTAATGTTGTTGTTCTTTACACTGTCTACATAAGTGAAACGTTAATACAGCAAGAGTACTAAAATGTCAATACTGATTTCTAAGGTGAAGTAATTGTTTTGTGAAGTATTAAACTATCTATAAAACTGTTGCAGTAGCTCCTGATGTCTTCAGAATTTATTTAAAGGGGTCATATGATGCGATTTCAATTTTTCCTTTCTCTTTGGAGTGTTACAAGCTCTTGGTGCATAAAGAAGATCTGTAAAGTTGCAAAGACTAAAGTCTCAAATCCAAAGAGATATTCTTTATAAAAGTTAAGAGTCAGCCACACCTACCTAAAACGGCTCGTTCTAACACACCCCCACATACCTACGTCACGATCTCGGAAGATTTGCATAACGCCGCCCAAACGTTCACGCAAAGAAAGAAGGCGTAACTTATATTCTCGCTGTAGTATTGTTGTTGCCATGTCGTGAAGACGCTGTGTGTTTTGTTGTGAAAGAGAAACTACTTTGTTTGGTCTTCCAAAAGAGGACAATATCCGCTTCGTCATGCCTAGAGCTGATCCGTGCTGGTCGCTGAGGAAATACAACAACTTTGCGCTGTGGATCACCGGATCGGCTTTCACCATGGACGAAGCAGAGTCCAGCCCAGGGTCGTCACATGTGATTGCCGCAAGCCC